TCAGCAGGAGCCGCATCAGCAGCTCCAGGTCATGGGGCGGGAGAACGGCCCCACTCGCTGCCCCGTTGTCCCGGGCAGGGGCGGCAGCAGCTGCTCCAAGAGAGCGACAGGGCAGCAGGCGGGATCGTTGTCCCCACCCGCGCTGTATCCGACCCTGCAGCTCCCAGGGACAAAGTCCCCGCGTGCTGCAGGGTCAGATAAAGCAGAGTGTCGGATTACTGGGAGTCGGATAATCCGGACTCCACTGTATTACTTTTAAAATCCAAAAAGGAGGGCAGGGGCGGCAGCAGCTGCTCCAAGAGAGCGACAGGGCAGCAGGCGGGATCGTTGTCCCCACCCGCGCTGTATCCGACCCTGCAGCTCCCAGGGACAAAGTCCCCGCGTGCTGCAGGGTCAGATAAAGCAGAGTGTCGGATTACTGGGAGTCGGATAATCCGGACTCCACTGTATTACTTTTAAAATCCAAAAAGGAAAAATGTTTACAAAATGAAGAGTCACATAAAGAAATACAGGGCTTGATTCAGCAAAGTGCATAAGCACATGCAGTGCTTTAAGCACACAAGTAGTCTGAGTGACTTAAATGGGACTACTTGGTCTTAAAGTTACAAGCATGTGTAAGCGGGGGAATGGTCCCGCTATTGTGGAGAACTTTCCTGGCTTCTATACCACCCCAGTAAAATGGACCAGCGAAAGGATCTGAGTCCCCGCTCCCACTTCCTTTACCCCACGGCTTCCCTGAACCTGAGGGATCCCCTTCCACTCTCCTGAGTAGCAGAGTCCTCGAAACCCCAACAAGGCTGGGTCCAGGTTTCCTGGGGCTTAATCCCCGATCTTGTAGTCACTAGGGGCAGGAGTTAGGGTGTCCCCACTCCGAGGTGCTCTCTTCACACTGCATGCTTTCTTGGCCCAGTGATTATTTCATAAGGTTCAAAGCAAATACAATTTATTAAACATCAACCGATTAAAGAAAAAAGAATAAGAAAAAATGAGAATGGTTAAATGAGAACACACAGTCCTGCTCTGTAGCATGGGGACATCAAAACAGCAGTCTGCAGAGTATAAGGACAGTTCACAGTCTGTTCCTTATAGGTCCCTTATAGATCCTGGCTGTGCTTCAGGAGGGCTGCAGGCTGGACACGCTTGCTCTGGCAGTGACCACACAGCCTCAGGCTCTAGGTGGCAGGACCCCTCTCCCAGTCTGGCCTGCAGGGCCTCTTGGCTGGTGGTGGCCCCCTGCCCAGAGCCTCTCCCCCCACTTTGCTGGTCCCAGCTGCTCACCACACCCAGCTGCAGGCTATGCTGCTTTGCCAGTCTCTAGCTCCTTGTGTTGCTTCTCTGTCCCCTTTGGCTCTCTGATCACTGCCAGTCTGCTGCTCAACACAGGCTTTGCACTCTTTGGCCTGTGTGTGCCTGACTCTGTTGCTGCAGGACTGCCTCTCCATAAGGCTTGCTCCTCTTATCTCTCTCTTCTTGCTCAGAGAGACCCAGAAAAAGTCCCAGCTCACATGGAGGATGGGGCCTGGCCTCTTACTTCCTTCACTGGCCTGTCCAACCTCTCAATCAGGCCGAACTGGTGTTGGCTGCTTTCCATTGTCTCTGGGGTCTGTCAGTCTCATGGACCCTTCCCCTTTTGATACTGGGAGCTGGCAAACCAAAATCTCCCACAGAGTTTTAGTAAGGGGCTAACAGTCCCCTTACACATGCTTTGCTGGATCACAACCATACCAAGTAATATAGAAAAAGATAAAAACCAAGACTTCTCTGTGTACTGTGTTTCTGCACCTGATTTTTAAAAAAATGGGGGAGGGGGGAGGAGAGGGAGAGATAGTCTGTATACCTCCACAGAAGCCAATCGTATGACATACTTCTAGGAAAATGTCATAGGGTTTTGTTGTAACTATATTCTGTTGTCTTAAAATTATGCCTGTAGGAGTCTCAGCTAAAATGACATGAATTATTTCGTTCAGAGTTTGAAAAGGAGAGGCAGTGAAGGAAAGGAGGAGAGAGCGGGGAAAGAAAATTGATCAAAAGCAGATGTTGATTTTGCCTCAGTAACGTTAAACCTAATAAAATTCTAAAAAATCAACATTTTTAATCATTCCTTTTTTTCTTTAAGTAAGTCTGTATAATCTCAAATAATAAGAAAATCTAATAATAAAAATATAACAACACAAGTCTGGGTTTCTCCAGCTATAGAGCAAGATAACTCTGTTCTTAAAATTAGTATGCACTCCATTATTGTTTATTATTCTTCATATGTATGGCAATGAGAGGGTTTTTTTTTTATAATGAGAAGTTTTTTTATTTAATTCTTTCTAGGGAGACAGGGTACTTCTTGGTGGACCAGGAAGCTTTTACTGGCAAGGTGAGACAAATTACTTAGGTGACACAAAATGGTGACCTCTGATTTTTCCATCCCCACTCCACCTATCTTGACTCCTCTGTCAACATCAATGTCTCAGTGAATGAGATACTAGAATATTTTTATAATACCCTTAAAATATTTACTGAATATTTGAGACATCTTTACATGATTTCTTTGTACTGATTACTAATGAAATAGCTATACAAATGTTTGATTACATATAGAAAGTGTTCCTAAAGGCACAAATTTTGTTCAAAGCCCGATAAAGTTATCTTGGAGAAGGTTTTGCCATCCACCCAAAACATTAAAAGCAAGGACATGCAATGTTAAGAAAGAGGTCTTCCCTGTAATTTGTAACACAAACATAAAGTATTCACTGTCAATGAGACACACTAGACAAAGAAGTTGACTCCATTTCCTTTGGATGCAGAGATACAGCTTAGGGAAGATGCGTGTGGAGAATGTAGTGTTATAAAAAAATCTTGCCTCTGATTTCACAGTTTCCTCAAGAAAATTTCACATACCTTTCCCTAGAGAGAAGTCCTTCAACTGACCACTGAGCATCCACGGTCACTATGGGCACGTCTACGCTGTAGGTGATAGAGAGCCCACTAGGCCAGGCAGACGAATGCACTAACTATGCTCAAACAGATGTGCTAAAAATAGCAGTGTGGACACTGTGGAATGTACTAGCCATGTGAGCACAGGCTCCAGGGGTTGGTTGGGCTTGCATGCAGACAGCTAGCTTGTGCTTCAGTATCCACGCTGCAATTTTAAGCGTGCTATATCTGCTTGAGCTAGCATGTGTCTGCGTACTTGGGGTGAAAGACATGCTTATAGGCATGTCCCATGAAAGTCCTCATACTGGTGAGCAGCTGCAAAATGCCTTTACCCATGTTCCATGCAAAAATATAGTTTCTGTAGTAGTGGAGACCCTGAACAAGGGAGAATGATTAAAAATGTATTAGATGCTTGTGAAATTAAGTTAGCAATGTATATTTATTTACAAAAACAATGAGGAGACCCATGGCACTAAAGTTTAACAGATTTATTTGAATATAAGCTTTTTTGAGCAAAGACCCATTTCTTAAGATGCATCTGATGAAGTGGGTCTTTGCCCACAAAAGCATATGTCCTAATAAATCTGTAGGCCTTTAAGGTGCCAAAAGTATCCTCATTGTTTTTGCAGATATGAACTAACATGGCTACTCCTATTTATTTAGTTAGCTCATTGGAGAAATTGTCATTTCTTACATAACATTTGAAAAGAGAAAGAAGTCTAAATGTAACAATTAAAACAAAATAAAATAATGATTCTGAGCTTGCAGTTTTATAATGTCCTACAATTCTTTTAACCTAAATTCTGAAATGCTGGATAAATGTTGTCTCTAAACTTAATGACATCCACTGGAATGGTATGTATGTAAAACATGAATCTTTCCCAGACAGCATTGTTTGGGTTTAAAGAGTCATCTTAAAGTGAAGGAAGATTATTATCACAACATCATCTAGTAGACTGAATATAAAGATTGTAATAGACTGTGGTCCTTTTATTAGCCTATCCATCTGTCACATATGGTTTTAATGTTCAGCATAAGGACTAATGCTCCAGTTCTGCAAAAGCATAAGACTATGCATTGATTAAGTCCCATTCTTCGCAGTTAAGTTCACCAGAGCAATTATTTATTTTAATGTATTGTTTTCCCCAGGTCAACTCATTTCTGATCGGGTGGCAGAAATTGTGGCTAAATACAATTCCAAAGTCTACAGTACAAAGTATGATGATCAGTTAGCAACACGATCTGCTAGTGCTGCTTTTGATGACAGTTACCTGGGTAGGTCATTTTGACAATAAAGGGATGTGTTTCTATCAATATTGCAGCAAGACACATTGGACAAGATCCTACACCTGTTGCAAAAGACCCAACAATTTGTATTGATTTTATTAATTTCAACAGGAGCAGGTTTGAATCCTTACTGAATGTTAATTAGGGATGTAAATAACCGTTTAAATAGTTAACCAATTAAACGACTAAAATTATAAGGTTTAACTGGTTAACCAATGGCGAGCAGTGAGGGCTGGGCTCCCTGTGTCTGCCTGAGATAAGTAGGAGCAGCTGGGGACAAACCCTCCCTGCCCGCCTGGGCCACTTTGGCGTGGCTGGGGCCGGAATCCTGTCTGCCTGCCTGCTGAGCCGCCCCAGCACGGCTGGGGTCAGAATCCTGCCTGGCCGCTCTGGTGCCTCTGGAGCCGGAAAGGGATCCCGCTGGAGTCCTGCTACTCAGGGCCAAGGTACTACTACTTGCCCTGCCTGAGTTGGAGTAGCCAGGGCTGGAGCATTGCTGGCCTGCCTGGGCCAAGGTGCAGTGACCTGCTCGAGTGCAGTTAGAGTTGGGGTCCTGCATTCTGGTAAGCCTAATGCTTACCAGGTATCGAGTTAACTGATTAATCTTTACATCCCTAACGTTAATGGTGATAAAGATAGCAGTTGATAAGAGTGTTTCTACTGTCAAAATGCCTATCCATTTAGGATTGTATGCACCCACCTTGTCTCTCTACTATCCATTTAGGAATCATTTGTCTGGGTTATTGCTGGTTATAGAGAGTGACTGTGTCAATCTTTTGATCAGTTACCTGGGTAGGTCATCAATCTTGGATGTATTATCTAATCTATATATACTTAGTCTGCTCTTTTTATATTTGTGCCAAAGAAATTTGTCACTTTTTCAGTGACTGGGTGGCCCTTGGAAAAGAAAATGTGTGGCCAGAAATTCTGTGTGTGTGTGTGTGTGTGTATGTGTGTGTGTGTGTGTACATATATACACACACACACACACAGTACTTTTTTGTGTGACAGTACTGCCTAATACTCAGTACCGGCACCTCCAGTCAGAGCTTACTTGGAAAGAATGGAGCGTACCAGCACCTCTGTATGCAAATGTCTGACAGTCGTGTGTCTTAAAAGGGCTCAACAACTTTTTTTTTCTTTTTGCTCAACAACTTTTCCCCTGGAGTACTGGCGCCTTTTTTTTTTTTTAACAAAAAAAGCACTAATAAAGTTTTTCCTGCCACGCGACAGAATGACTTTCTGTCATCAGGCTCTCTCCATGCTTCAAAAAATAAGTGTTCTAAGTCAGTTTCTGATAGCTGGTGTAACATAGCACAGAAAACCCTCTAATGCCTCAAGTCTTTTATTACTTTAAAATCAGGAAAGTAAAAGAACAAGCCGTGTTCTGCTTTTACAAGGCAATCTAATATATCCCAGTCCGGCATGGAATCAGACTTGCCTGTTCAAATCATAACAGTTTTCATAGTAATTCAAAATTCAGCATTCCTTGAAAGGCCCAGGAACCAAGAATTTATATCTGGCACACCTGCAGCAACCACTGTGTGCACTTGGCCAGTCACTATGCATCTGTGTTTCTTTTTTTCTCTAGCAGTAAAATTGGTATTGTGAATGGGCTTTTTTGTGTTATTAAGTTAGCAAAGAGCTTTGAGATTATTTCACCATCACCATCTGAATTTACACAGAACAAGTCATTGTCTGCTAATTCAGCTGAATTATTATGTGACCTCCCCCCTCATCCACCAAAATAAAAAGAAATCAGGCTAAGTATAAGGATGTTAGAAATAGTTTATATTAACAATCATGTAACTGAAACAATTCTTTGTCGATGCCCCCCTAAGGACGGGTGCAGCACCCAGTGCACTTCTGGCCCCACTCTTGGGCTACGTCTAGACTGCAAGTCTCTTTCGAAAAAGAGTGTCTAGACAGTCTGGATGCTCTCTTTCGAAAAAGCCCTGTTGCATTCAAGAATGCCTTTTTTCGAAAGAGCACTTTCGAAAAAAGGCGTTCTTCCTCGTGAAATGAGGTTTTCCGCCTTCGAAAGAAAAGCCACGTTCTTTCGATTTAATTTCGAAAGAACGCGGCTGTAGTCTAGACTTAGGTGAAGTTTTTTCGAAAAAACCCTTGAGTCTGGACACAGCCTTGGGGAGCTCTCTTCCATCCCGTACTGCTGCCTCTGTATCAGAGACAGCAGCACTCGGTGGCAGGCGGGACTCGATCCACAGGGGGAGTTTGTTTAAAAAATCAGCTCCCCATGCAGACTGTGGACCAGCTCCCACCTGCCACCCCAGACTGCTGCCTCTACATCAGAGGCAGCAGTGCAGGGTGGCAGACAGCTCTCCCTCATGCTCTTCATTTAAAACTAGGACGAGCAGGATGGGACTGATTCAGCCTACTGATCTAAGTTTTAAATGCAGAGCATGGGGACGTGGGGGTGGTGCATACTGCTGCTGTTAACCAGGACCATAATAATAACAATAAACGCGTATTGATTAAACGGTTATCCATCTAGCTGTTGTCATCCCTAGCTAAGTACGCATATCTCAAGTAGGAGCTTGCTGTGTATTAAACATTATTCAAAATCCTTTTGCAAATCCAGATAAAGTTTCTACAGCTGAGACCAAAACTAGGATAATTCTGCATTCCACTGCTGTTCCCGATGTCCCTTTTATCAACTTAATAGTACATCCCCATTTGGTCTTGATCACCACCAAATTTTATTGCCATGAGTTCATCAACGGATTCCAGTTGAGAGAAACTTGGGTTGGAACAGTGGCAAAATCCATTCAGATTTTAAGCACGTTCGGATGTGGACCCTACCATGTCAATTCTGGACCATCTCTAAGTTCTATATGTTTGTTTGAACCTAGCATTCCAGTTTCCAACTGGTGGGTCCCCATTTGGAAAAACAAACCTGCCTATTTGGGAATAGCTGTTCCTACTGAAATTGATGCATCTCATGCAGACTTTGACTAACTATTTTTAGCTGGATAGTATAGTTGTCCAAAGGACATGCTGTTTGGAGTATCTATTTATTTTACTATCTTCTGAGATCTTTCAATAGGCTGTGCAGGCAAAGTGGCTTATGTGAGAAGTGTTGAGAAATCACATCACTTTGTATAGCGACTTATCATTTTTGTCATTGTTGCTCAGGTTATTCAGTGGCTGTTGGAGAGTTCAGCGGTGATGGCATAGAAGGTACAGCCTTATTCTTG